CGGCCCCCGCAGCCTCTCCCCTCCCGGCACCCCCTTGCCGTGAGCCACCAGCCCACCTCGGGTTCACGTCCCCTTTAAGCCTCCCCAGGCTGGAATGCGAGAGGAGCATTTCAGCGCCCTGTGAGGTCAGATAAAGACACTATATTTATCTGGCCGGTAACCTGAGCCCTGAATTTCTGCGGTGGCATTTTTTTTACGTGTGGCCCCACAGCCCTCGGGCTCGGCCCCCTCCAGCCACCGCACTCGCTCCCAGGGTAGAGGGGCTGAGCTGGGGGTGCCCTGTCCCCTCCAAAGGGCTCTGCTGCTGCCCATCTCCACATCTCCCCTCTCTGGGACCAGGGGAAGATCCCAAAGGAGGCAGGATCAGCCCCGTGGGCATCACCTCATGCCTGGATGTTCGTCCTCCTGACCAGCCCTCGGCCGCCCACCCCACACGCAGGTGAGTGGAGGAGGTGGAGGGGACACAACCCTGGGGAGGGGGACTCAGAGACAGACAAAACTGCCCCCCCTCTTCCTCCATCTGCGTAAAACTGCAGGGGACAGGTTTCTCTCCAGGTTCAGTTCACACACAAAAAACTTGGCAGCTCCCCGACAGCCTCCTCGTCCCCCCGGCGTGGGCAGAGCCTCCTGCCCGGGGGTCCCTTCTTTTTTTCTTGCACCCACAGACCTCAAAGCAATAACACATCATGCCCTGGGTCTTACGTCAGGGTTCCCCGTGGGTTTGGGGTTTTGCTGCCCGGGGGGTGGCCCAGAAGGGGTGAGCAGCAGGTTGTGCAGCCAGGTGGGGATGTGTCAGCAGCACCGAGCCAGTCCGGGGCGGTGACTCCTGGCCAGCACATGTGGTGTGAGTTTGGAGGGTTCTCAGGCTCAGGGTTGGTAGGGGAAGGGCCCTGGCCAGGCTGGCCTCAGCTGCCTGAGCCACTTTGGGCAGTGCCCATCGTTCTGGGGGGTGGGAGTGATGGGGGGGCACAGGGGAAGAGCACTGGGATCTCCATCTGTTGACAGGATGACTCCAGCTCCTTGTAGGGAGCAAACATTTTGCGGCACATTCTCCCCAGGGCTTCTCGGGGCCACTTTCCCTAGAGGGAGATGGAATCCCAGAGGGATCCCTTGCCTCGTGCCCCTTGGGGAATGTGCAGGAGGCTGTCCCACCCCTCTGGCACTCTCAGCTGGACATGGAGCCCCTCCATCCGAAACCTGTACACTGGAGCACACAAAGTGCCTCACACAGGGTCCCCACTCTGCCTCTGCTGGGAGCTCCCACGTAACCTCCAGGCTGGGACATTGTGTCTCAGGGGACAGGGCACACAGCTCCAAGCCTGTGTAAGTGAGAAGCAGCTGAGCTGTGACACCTTGGATGGAGCCAGCGCTGTGTAAGCTGAGCTGAGCCTGCTCTGGGGCTCTGTGGCCACCGAGGGGGACAGCAGCCACTGGGCACAGGCAGGACAGAGGGGACAGCTGCCACCAGGCATGGGCAAGAAAAGAGAGTCAGCTGCCACCGGGCACAGGCAGGAGAGAAGGGTCAGCTGCCACCGGCATGGGCACAGCAGCAGCAGCTGGGGAAAGAGTAGGGTCTCTGATCCTCTGTCTCCAGGGTGAAGGGTTTGCCTCCCCTCTTTTAGCTGAGCTTCCCTTTGGGAAGGCTGGCGGAGCTGGAGGCCAGGGCAGGACTCCCCAGCACTCCAAGCAGTCCCAGGGTGTCCTGCTGCCATGTCCTGGCGCTGGCTCCTGCCTGGCCACGTGAGTGCAGACCGGACATTCCTGTGCCTCAGCTTCGCCTGACACCTCGGGAGGATGATGAGGGAGCAGGAGGGCTGACTCAGCCGTGCCGGCCCCAGGGCTTTGCCAGGCAGCAGGAAAGCTCAGCACTATGACAGGCAGGGAGGGGCCAGGAGCCCAGGAAGCTCTGGGAGGACCCGAGGTTTTCTCACACTCCATTCAGCTCCTGCGGCTCCTGGCACACTCCGCTCTCCCTCTGCCCTGGGATACACTTGGATGTGACGTGGGGACTCAGCAGCACAGGCAGTCCTAGCAGATGTGATGTTCCTCCATGGTAAGACCTTTCTTCCCAAGAGATGGTATAACTGCCATGCCTGGAGCTGGCTCCTGCTCCTGGGCCCCTCATCCCTCCATCAGCTCCCCCACATTCCCAGGCACCTGCTGCCCTGTGGAAACCTGTCCTGCTGCCAGAGAGCACCTGCTGCCCTCCTGCTTCCAAACTGGAGGCTCTCCTGATGCTGCCGGTGTCAGTGTTGGCACGGCACAGTGGGAGATCACGAGCAACACTGGCACTGGGTGATGGCACAGGGTGCTGTCAGAGAGCACGGGCACTGTTGGCAGTGGGTGATGGCATGGGGCTGTCCCAGCACTCAGATCATCTCTGCTGGCGAGGGGGACAAGGATCAGGGATAGCCCAGACAGGGTCCTGTGCCAGGCTGCTCCATGCCCCAGCAGGGCAGACAGCCAGGCACGAGCACACGGAGCTGAGGGGCTCTGCCACGCTCATTCTGGCACTTGCAGAGAGTGCCAGTCCCTTGGCCGGGGTCCCACATCCCTCCAAGCAAGATTCCCTCACTGTCCATGTCAAATCCTGACTGGCAGAACCTCTCCTGGGCCCTCACTCCTGGTGAGGGCAGCGGCAGCCTGGCTGGGGAGAGCCGGGTGTTTCGTGGAGTCCCTGCCTGGGAGCAGGTTATTCACCCTCCAGCCTCTGTTCCCAAACAGGTCTGTGTGCTCCACCTTGCTCCTGCTTGTAAATATTTCCCTCTCCGCTGTGGGATGTGGTTGTTCCCTGGGCAATAACAACAGCACCCGGGATGCTGGAAAGCCCGGGGCTGTCTGCCAGGAGCCCATGGGTGCTTCTCACCACCCTCTCCTAAAAGCAATTCCAGGGTGTTTCCACACTGGGGTCACACCCCGGGGCTGTGAGCAGGAGGCTGGGCTCCCCCAGGATCAGGCAGGGAGTGACAAGCTGGGATCCAGTGCCCATCCCCAATCCTGGATGCACCCTGTGTGCTGCCGGGACGGGACCGTGCGAGGGACGGGCCAGGCACAGGCTCTGTCACCTCCCAGCTTGGAGCCGGGCCAGAGCCCGCCCCGGCTGGGCTGGGAAAAGCCTGTGAATCAGGGTCATCTCCCGGGTGACTGGAGACTCTCGGAGCCACATGAGCCACTGTCCTGCCAGGGAAGGGACACCAGGTACAGGGGATCTGAGCGCCAGCACCGCCAGGACGGAGGAGCTCGGCTGGGGTCCTGCCTGCCCGGTGCCACCCACAGCCCCAGGACAGGTAGGGAACCAGCCTCGGCACGGGTGCTGAGGGAAAACTTTCCTCCAGCTCCACACAGCCCGTGTTTGCAGGCACTGGAGGCTGCTGGCTGTCACACTGCCCTGTCCCTGCTCAGGGCTGCCTCTGGGTGCCTCTGTCCCTGTCCCCTGTGTGCTCCTCTCCTGTCCTGTGAGGGTGCCATGGGGTAGAAGACCCCTGCTGCCTGTGGGGACCGAGTGCTGGGGTGTTGCCCACCCTTACAGCCTGGCTTTGCCTGGAGGGTGGGGGCACAGACATCACCTCAACAGGAAGACTCGTCTTGAATTACTGATGGGAGGCTCCCAGGGCACAGCCGTGGCAGGGAGATGAGCAGGCTGCTCGGGTCCCGGCCTTGCCTCAGTTTCCCTTTCAGTTTGTTGGCAGCAAACTGAAATTCCAGGCCCCTGCCAAGCCCCAGCACTCACTCTGAATAACCCAGGGAAGGTGCTGGGCTGGCTGGATCAGTCCATCCCCCCTGCCTGTCTCAGGCAGAGCTGGGCCTAAGCAATATGACTGTGACCAGGTGACCACCTCCCATCTGGAGGAGGCACTGGGGACACCTCTCCAGCCATGGGACAGTGTGTCAGGGATGCCAGGGATGCAGGCATGACTGCTGCAGTCCCTTGGCTTGGGTATCTGTGGGTCCTGGAATGCTGGGTGCCCTGGCTGTGCCCTGGGGCTCCCTTCCGTGGTGTGAGGTGCCTGAAGGCACATGGGTGGCAGTGCCAGCTGAGTCCTGCTGCCCCAGGCTCTTCAGGAACGCTGACAGGTGGCAGGAACCATGGTCACACTGCACCCCAGAGCACCCCTCATCCCCTGGATTCCCTGTCACCTGCACACCTCTCCCAGGGTGTTCCAGGACAGCAGGCTGCTGGGTGGGTGGTGGTGGTGGGTGCTCCATTGTGCTGACCACGGCCTTTGAAAGCTGACCCCTGGGCTCTTCTCTTGCAGTCGATGCCTCCAGGAGAGCCCTCTGAGCCCCAGCCTGCAGCATGTCCCAGCTCTCCTCCACCCTGAAGCGCTACGTGGACTCCTCCCGCTACACTGAGACCACCTACAGCAAAGTGCCCGGCGGGTACAGCTCCTACAGCTCCTATGGATCCACCCTGTCCTATGCAGACAGCGACAAAATCGGCTTCAAAGCCAGCTACCTGGGCTCCCCCCGCTA